GTCAAAGCTCATAAGATGAAATCATCTCACAAATAAACAAACTAATGTATGACGCAATGTATGTTACGACATAAAAAACGAACTTGTTGCGAACGAAATATAAAGAATTCGCGTAAAATGTAATCAAGTTTTGGCGTACTATTATTGATTTAGTAGAGATTTTGGATAATAAAACAATACGCACTTTACAGAAGAAAAAAAATGAAGAATGTTCTTTTACAAACACTGAAATCAGTTCAGTTATCAATATAAAAATTGCAAGTAGTGTTTTAAAACAATTAAACAAGTGACACTCTGGCAGTGGCCTCGATCCCTAACACAATGTATTTGAACGGAATGCGGAATGATATTCTTACAATTGAAATTATCGACCGGAGAAATGCGGATGAGTTGGTCAATATAAAAGTTTCGATCGTGGGAAAATGATTAAGTATTAAATATTAAAAAGTATCAAGACACATGGAAAAGGATAATGTCGATAAATTGTTGGCAAACTGTTGCGGCTTATAAAAATAGATTTGTAAAACCTTTACCTTATAGAATTTGCCGTCAATGTAACTTCCTCAAACAGTTTAAGATAACTCAACTAAATGCTATGATAATTATACAAATATGCACTTTTACTTAGAAATATTAACCTGTTCATGTTTTCTTAGAAATATTCTCCAATCCGAATTTGTTTAATTCCGATTTAATCTTCGAATAATCTTTAATGCCCGTGTTTTCCTTTCACTTTGGCCCGACGAATACATAGATATCGAAGTACGTCAGGTCACGATGCGGTTAAGAACATGAATTAAGATAACAGTTATAGAAAATATCGCAAAATAAACTAATTAAAAGTTCAATGAGTTCTTGGATCGTCAATAATAGTCAATATAATGTTTAATTAACATGTGCATTTAGCGAGACTGGCATTTAAGTAATTTAGAAGATATGAATATCATATCAGTTCGTTTAAGGCCGAATCAGCTTATGCCGACCTTGATTTATATCCACCAAATCAGTGTAGTAGATAAGGATTTGTGTTGTAAAGAAAGTTGTTTGATATTGTTTCGTTTTGTTCTGCGGGGTCAACGGCACAAAATTATAACACTGTTACTTTCAAAGGTCAGATGACGTGTGAGGCGATAGCAGGCGCAAACCTTCATTTTTTTTGTACCACGAAAAAGTAAATTTCTATTTCTTGTTCCACTAATTTTATATAAGTTGTCTCTTTGTGTATTAGTTTATACAGGTGTTGTTTTGAATGAGGTAACAAATACATATGACAACCAGTTTACTTTATTTTATGAATTAAATTTATTCAGAGCCTACTCTACTATTTTGTTTATTGTTTAGTTTAAGAAATCCGAAAATTCAACTTAAACAGTTGTGTAAGTTTTAAAATTCCTCATTTAGAGACCTTGGAAAAGGATAGAGTGTTTTTGTCATAATGTTAAGCAGACGAGGCCGCGTGGATCAGCTAATTTACTGATAAAAAATATACTAACACAGTAGTATGTAAATCATCACAATCACAAGTCAATATATTATGCAGATAATATTATATCCTTTGATTATATGAGTTTAAAATTTATAATAAACACTAATAAAACACTAGACACGCGGAAGGAAATCAATCGTTAAAATACGGTTACACATACCTAACTGGATTTGTTGAGCAATTAAAGATGTGAAATTAAGACAACTGCTTAATACTACTATTACATAAGTTAAGCTATAAAATATATGTTTATAACTTATATTTATATGAATCACATGTCCCTTGCATGAGCTTGTAGTAAAACTATCAAAAGTACATAAAACCTACCTAAACTTATCTGAATTCTTGTATTTTTTATTTAAAACATCTACACCTGTATAATTCAACAATTCTGTTGTTCACAAGAACAGTTATGAATATTTTATTACGTTATTGCTAAATCTTGATATAATATTGTATAATACAGTATATTAATGATCATGTTTCCAAATGGCAACAAAAAGCATTTTAATGTAACATTGGGCAAACAAGATAACTGGGGCAATCGACTTCCTATATTTCAATTTAAAGGGACATAATACAACACTTAAATATTGAACAGAATCAGTGGGTCAGCCTTGAATGCCTTAAATTGCAAGATAAAGCTTTGAGCTTTTTTAAACCAAAGAATTTATATTTTGTAAAGAATGTGGTTGGAATTTTTGATACAAGCTTTCCACAAACAATAATTCAATTATGACTATTTAACCAAAGTGTGTGCTATAAATAGGAGCATTCTGATTTCTTAATTAAATTAAAATTCCACAACAGGATATCCATCCTACATATGGACCAAAACTTATACACATATTTTTTAATCAGACTCTTCATAAACTATTTTACATTTTGATTGTAAATATCCCTAAATTTAATTTTAGGAGTGGCTTCTATACTTCCAGATATAACAGAATATTATAAATAGTAATGAATCTTATATGTACTATTAAACTTTTTTGATCAATTTTAGTAAGGTTGTCTTTCACTTCACAAGTAGTTTGCTTTTATAAATAATTCTAATAATATAAAAACTTACAGCTCCTCTCGTTGTCGTTGTGACAACACCATTTTCATTGTGGTTGGGTGATGCTTGATACTAGGGCCTTAGGTTTTCTGCACTTGAGTTGTAAATTCAGGCAGGTGATGGTGTTAAGACTGTTGCCATTATCACACCTAGGAACACAACTTAATATATTTATATACACCAGGAAAAAAACTTAATATATAAAAATTAAAGAAAAATTTAAAAAAAAAATTTGTTTAACTCTATTAGGACTGTAACTTTATGATGGTTAGATTTTATTAATGTAACTAGAAGGAATACAATTTGTTTTTTAGATATAAATTTTCTATTTATATCTAAGATAAAATTTCATACACATCTTTAAATGAGTGAAATGTTAGATTTGTAATGAGTTAACACGATAGATTGAGTCTTACATCACCAGCAGTTACTAAAATATTTCTATAATATTAATGATATATAGTTAAACCAAAATTAATTATATTTCACTTAATGTATCAATTTCATTTGCTACCTCTGCCACTCTTTTGGCTTCATCTAATAAGAAATTTTAAGAAACTATGGCTTCTATGTCAAGGATAAATCTATTGTCAATATAGTAGCTTAATTACACAATCAGCTGGTCATTAACCTTAAGATATATCTAATTGGCAAACAACATTTGTAATAAGAGAATTAAGAATGTATATTTATTAATACTTAAACTTAGTAAACACAATTAATAACAAATAGAAAAGGACTTAATAGTTTTTCATTTATTATATTGTTATCTAAACCATCTCTAATTATATAAATAGGTAGTTGTTTAGGCCTTGAAAATCTTTGCTAATAACTTTTTAAACCAAGGAAAATAAAAAAAATATACTGAATTTTTAACCAAGGTGTGTTTTTTGGCATGATTTGTATTTAATCACAGCAACAAATATATATTAACTCTATGCTCTTTTTGATTGTAGAAAAAGTATTCCTGTAGCTAAAGGTATAACATAATTTTTTATACACAGTAAAAGCAAACACTACTTGAAAAATTACTGTGACTGCGTTTGATTATTTTGGATCTAAATGAGATAATTGACATGTGTATTTATGTTGTTAATAATAATCATATATTTTATTCTAAATTCAATGAATATCTCATAAATATTAAGGTGAAAATAAGAAGAATATGAAATGTTTTTATGTGACTCAGAAATCACAATTTACGTCAAAAGATATGTTCTGTCAAATTGCCACATCAACCAAATAAGTTCATAATAACTGAAAATACATATTTAAATAAAATAAAAGAAAACAAATATTTATAACGAAGTATTATTCTTCCTTAGGGACGTTACTTATATAGAACACTCGTTTCAAATACGAAATAGTCGAACGGCCATATTGCTTGAACGGTAACCGTAGCAATAGAAAAGACCTAAAATTCTCTTGCACAACAATTTATCACTATACTTACAAAAAGAGACAAACACTTAAGCTCGCACTGAATTTAATTATTTATCACCCACTTTATTTCACTTCACACTGGGACTCAAAGCAGAAACCGTTTTCGATGGATTCAGCAATGGATCACCGATTGAAATTCTACTCAATTCTCAAATGACAAACTGAAAATTCACTGTTGAAAATGACAGCTGGAGTAAAACCATAAACTACGCGTCAAGTTTCACATATGTATCAATTGTCATGCATTTCATATCAAGTGATCATTTGTCAATATCAAAACAGATAATACTATACCACAGTCAATTGAAAACTCAGTTATAAAATACTAAAACGTATTAAAGTACGTAAGATAATATAGAGAAAATTAATTTAAATTATAGCCTAAAAATATGTTGGACACAATGTACAATTATTATAAGTTTATCAAACGAAGTAATAAGTTCAAATTTATTTTTAATTTGTACTAACTCAAAAATCTCCAATTTAAAGGAATAGAGAAAAGAGGAACAAATGAACAAAAAACAGTGAACGACAGATCAACCAATGACGAATTACAACCAAGTACCAACCCAACTCAACAAAACAAATGTCCGATTTCTTCACCCATTTCGTAAGTTCTCCGAACGATTTATTTTAAATCAAGACTTAACGCCCCGTTCAAGTATTAAATTCAGTTGTATTTGAAGCAAAAAGCGGTTCAAAGGTTAAAAGTAATGTAAAAATGTTAGATGTTATGTTTATTTAATAAATATTCTGTGGATTGCAAATAAGTAGTAATTGACTAGTACGAAAGGAATCAAGTTTCATATTTTCTATATCGTAAAGTAGGTATACTAGTTTGTTTTGTTAGATCCGTGTCTTGATATTTCTATTATCTGATTTTTTCTTCAAGATGGCAGTGAATAATATCCACCTTTCACCAATTGGCCAGTGGTTAATCTTTCAAATACGATGTGTTTCTCGTTACGTTCGTGGGAGCACTAAATGCTAACTTTGAAGGATAGCTGTAGGATGGTGATAGCAAGAAATAAGAAATTAAAACCACAAATGACGGCTACTGTAAAGAATATGGACTATACATGGACAGCTGGGTCAGAGGCCCCAACCAACAACCAGGATGTGGGTGTCCCTCGGGCGGTTTTTATTCCCCACACGAACTCGCTACCATTTGAAGAAAGGCGAGTCACACTAGAGGAACCAGTAAAGGTAATTCTAGGGAACTTTCAAAACCAAAATTATTTTGGAAAAGATGTACTAATTTTGATTTTAATCAGCTCCACACTTGTGTATTTTCAAACTAACTGTTGATGAAATTCCATTAAAATAATTGTCAAATGTTTTTTTAAGAATTACCTATATACTAATCTTAGGATATGCACCATATATTATTTATTATTAGTATATGTATTCTTATATCTTCCATTACCATTACTATGTAATAGGTGCCAAATTTCAAGCCTAATTCTTTTATCTGTATATGAATATTCTATTAATGAGTAAATGAACTTGTTTCTTATTAGATACAAGGATTTTTGGCTTAGCTTTACTTTTTTGCACTAGCCAAAAGATCGTGTAATAGATATTTTATTTTGTTTTTAATCGATTGTAAAAAAATTAAACAACTTTTAAATTTGATTTACATTTATAAAGTGCAAAATATATTGATATCATAATGAAATTTTATATATTAAAGAGGAGATTGAAAATTACCGAAGGCATGTCACTGTTGTTATCAATTGCTTGTCTGTTAATTAAGAAAATTATTATATTTAAGTAACTATCACTGTAAACAATATAGTTTAAAGTCAAATAGTTAATAAAGATTAAACTTGTCTTACTAATCTGATAAGACTTTCTTTGTAAGTGGACACATAATGGTATTTGGCAGATAGATTTTATCTTGATTTGATCTGGGCAACATCTTATGTCGCCATTAGACAAAGCATGCCTTATCTGTTTGTAACATTACTGTAGTATTGTGTGATAGTTTAGTGAATCTATCATCTTGTTTGGACATCATAAATCTACATAGCTTGTATATATTTTATAAAACAACATCTAAAACAAAACGGTAAACATTAATTGATAGAAGACTCGATGTTTTTAGTATTTATTTTATAATAGATTATAGAGAAGCATACTATTACTTGAAACTCATATATGTACAGTAATTTGACCAGCATTATTTTCAAAGCTTGCCTTCCTAGTCCTCATTAAAATTTTAGTATTCCTAGGTACTTGCGTCGCCGAGATTGTTGTAAGAATATACTCCCTATACATAATCAATTATCAAATCTTGGTTTGATCTGAAAATGACATATAACTGTAATTAATTTTTACACCATATAAACAACAATTTCTAACAATCTCATTAAGTATGCCTAGTAAGCAAAGCTATTTTTGTGTAGCTTTCACTGAAATACCGAGAGAATTGTTAGTCCCTTGGTAGTATAAACAATACATTTTGGGTCTAGCCTATCATATTCTCTACTTCCTGTATGTAAAATATGATAAGATTAACTTCCGTTGCAAGCGCAGCAGATGTGTAGCTAGGAATAGCACCATTTAATCTTGTTAAATTTAATTGCCAATGTACAATTGTAGCGTCTCGAGTGCGTTGGGTCATACTGATTGACTCAAGAATGGCTGGGCGCGCGCTTGTCATACGAAATGACTTTATAGATAAATTCAGACGGAACTTAAGTAGTGCAATGTTTTATAATTCATACAAGAAATTTACTAATGCATAAACAAACATATTTATCATGTATATCCATTTTTGAGAAATGGCAATGAAGTAGCGAGGAAGCAGTTATGTCTTTGCTTTTTATCGTGGGTTTATTATTTTGTTACACAACTTGGATCTATTGGAGCCATTACTATTGTTTACAGACGTGCAAGCGTGCAAACGAAATGTTGGCTAATTTCGCTTGACTGTTATTGGTCAACGGCGTGTCTTGTCCAATAAGCAACATGACACGATCCATAAATCAAATGAAATTAAAAATATTCGAACCTTTAAGAGACATAAATAAAGATGCTGATGTTATGTTTCAGATCGGAAGATATGTGTATCGTGGTTCGCCTTGCCAGACAAATACAATATTCGACTGTCGAGTGCTCTCTCGTCACCATGCGACACTCTACTACGATAAAGGACATTTTTATCTTGTGGTAAGTTTCATAATTAAACTAATTAAAATTACAATATGAATCCTACATCAATTTGAGTAGTTTTGGTATCTGAATGCCTGAAAGTCTAATAAAGGGTTGAGCCTCTGAGCAAGTAAGGGTGCACCGTGTTACACGACACGGCAGCTTAGTCTAATATTGCGTCGTAACTTCGTACGAAACAAAACACGTTAATATATAATTTGGAACGCATATTGAGAGTGCATATATTTTAAGGCCGCCATTTGCAATATAAAATTTTGTTAGTGAATATCGTTAATGATAGGTTGGATGCTTCTTGTTAAATACATAATCTAAATAAGTATATCTAAAACAGCCTTGTTTATCCATAAATTAATTTGTTTGTGTGGGAGGTCGTCACATATCGATGTCCAAAAATGAATACTTTAAATCTATAATGGAAACTTTTTCGCTGTACCTATTCGGAAATGGTATTATTATTGAGCTTTTATGACTGTTAAGGTAAAATATTTATCAAGGTTTTTTTGTACTCTCGGTTATGCCTAATCAAAAGTGCATACACATGCAGAAATATGTTTGCCTCATAGTAATTAATGCATATATCATTTACGGAGAAACGATCATTTCGTTTAAAGATAAACAGACACGTATCTGCCTCTTATTTACTATGTCGAGTTAGCTTTTGGCACGCGCAAATCGTGGAAAACAGCAACCATTATGCTTTATAAATATAAAAGCTCTCACAGGTTTTAAAGAGATCAGTGTTCTGATTAAACTCAGCAATATTTATAACAACTGTTTAATTCTTTGAATGTTTTATTTCAATATTTATAATGAGTGTCTGTAACTCTTGATAATTTTTGGTAAAAATGTAGTTTTAATCTAATATATAAAATTCTCGTGTCACGGTGTTTGTAATTAAACTTCTCCAAAATGGCTTTACCGATTTTCGTGAAATTTTGTGTGCATATTGGTTAGGTCTGCGAATCGGACAACATTTTTTCATCCCCCTAAATGTTAAGGGTGATCCACCCCTAAATTTTTATTTTTTAGACAAAAAAATGTTTTTATTTTTTTATGATACAGCATACAAAAATACATGCAACCCTTAATTTTTACCCCTCCACGATCAACCCTTATTTTTTATATGTAGATAGTTATTATTAAACTAAAAAAATGTTTCCTAGACATAATATACATGCCAAAACAACGTTTGCCGGGTCAGCTAGTATACAATATATAATCATCTAATATATTCATGTCATTGTGATTATGGTACCGAATTTGATTAACGTATGTCGTATTTGATATCGCAAGATGAATTAACGGGAGTAGAACATTGGGCGCACCTACTATTATGGTTACGCTATAATATTTATATATTTATAAAGAGTAAAACCTTTCTTAGTGTGTATGTAGGAAGTAATCTACTGAACCGACATTTTCAATTGTAGAAAGCTTATTTCTAGGTGTATGTATGATGAGATTTTATTTTGTGTAAAACGCTTTCGTGGACTAAAGTGTCTTTATCAAGGACGTTGATTTTGTTTCTTATTCCTCTGCTATTCAAAACATAATACGAAAATATTTAACCCATTTTTCCTGTTAAAGCAAATCCAAAACTAAGTTGCATAATTATCAAAAACAATTAATTAGGAGAGTAGATTAGTGTTCCGTTCACAAATTAAAAAATAATTCAGTTTAAAAAATTTCTTTAAAATTATCTATTATAAATTAAATTGTTTGGTCTAGTAATGCTATTACTTGAAATTTTGAATATTTGACTCTTTGAATAACACTCCGTATGTTTTCAAAAGCGTACGATAAAGTTAAATATCAACAAGAATGGTATACGTTATCTATTCAAGGCACGGATTCCTATAGAATAGCGCATCTTTTGATATTAGAGTTCCTCGATCTTTACACAGTGTTTACATGTATTGTGAACAAAAGTATGTGACGAAAACGCCCACCCGTGTGTGAATGGGTACAGACAGCAACAGTATTGTTATAAAGAGATTTTTCATATTTGGATTAATTTGACCAATACCTCAGTACGCTAGTTAAACATAACAATTGACAATTTGAATATACTTTTTTTAATTGATACTCTTAAAAATATTTCCTGAGAGGAAATTCGATTGTTTTGGTTTAAATCTATTTTGCTAACGGTACGCTGACACTTATGAATGGAAATGTGCCGACTCTCACTGACGCCCACAAAAGATTTCGACCACAGCCTATTTTATTCAGCCTTTTGAGAGCTTATGTAACAACTAACAAGTAGCGACTAATGAGTTGGATACGGAACTATTATTTATTTGTATCTTTGTATCCACTCCTCAAGAGGTGTCTTCTTAATCACGGTTTCTGCTTCCTGGAAAGCATTCTTAAATTTGAACCTATGTAATCAATTATAAATTTAACGATTATTTAATTTATCCTAATCCTTGGGATTGATTTGCTCCAGTTCAAATATTTATAGCTGCTCTGCCTTGCGAACAATTTGTATGACTCAAAACTTGGCGATTAAAAAGAGCGGCGGAGAGTTTCTTGCATGTTCTTCTTGCCCCCTCTACCTCCTTGACTGGTAGTGAATGTTAATTTAGAATCAATTTAACATATTTTCTGTTGACGAAGTGTACTTGGTTAGTGGTTACCTATATGAATAAAGTTATTTTAATTGTGAATATTTAAGTTTTTCCTAATCCCAATTTGTTTAATATTGAACCTTCGGGCCTAGTGAGAAGATTGAAAATGATAAAACCATTTGAATAAGTATTAGTGAACGATAGTCGTAAGTCCTAAACAGTGGTTAGAAAAAAAATAGAACAATAGAACAAAGCGGCATTCCCTTAATAGTAACTGTAAGTAGTGTTTACACTTTCTTATGTTAAATACTTAAATTAGGTTAAATGGTAATGTTCAATGATGTATCATTGAAGAGACAATTATTTATATAAAAAAAATGTGTCCCGTCTCGTTAATTCACACGGAAATAAAATATGATTACCCCAGTGCCGACAGACGATAAATTACTGTTTAAATTAAATATTTAAAATCATAACGCTTATAATATTAGTAGTACATATAATGTAAACATTATTATGTAGCCTCAGAAGCACTCGTTAATAAAATTAATATAAATCAGTTCACTGAATGTGCCCTCATTAGGAATGCACAAAGCATTTACCAGTGTCATATCAAATGCGTTTTAGCCTTACTACGAGAGTTGATTTACAATAGGCAATGTGTTTATTAATTCGTAAAATATAAATTGTTAAGAGATTTAGGTATTCCTTAATATACCTACTTGTTGCATAGTTTTAGATATATTGGGAAAGGATGTTTTTATAGTACAAGACCAAACTTGCAAAAATCTCATGTGATGTTAAGTAATACCGCCCATGGACAATCTCAATTCCATAGGGCTCGCAAGTGCGTTGCTAGCAGTTACGCGTAGTAGATTCTTTACCCTAAGTCGAATTGGTTCGGAAATACTTTAGTAAGCAGCTGGTTCCACATAGTACCACGTAACGATAGCTTAATTACGTTGACATAGTTGGAATTGCGTCTAATTGGCCTGTATTTCTGGATATATTCTGTCTTAACGAAAACTCGGAGACTGCCTCGTGTCGCATTTCTCAAACAATATATTGTAAAACACTTGAAAATCGATTTACGTTTGGATACTCGTTGTCTGCTTACTCAGTATATTTAACAAACAAATAATTTGTTTTTTGTTTGTTTGGTAGTATGTTTACATCGAACCCGCAAACGTTTTGTATCCAATCGCCTGTAATGTTATGCCCTCAATTAACCCTTTGTTTGACTATTAGAACCCTCTTTTGGAACTAACCGACGCTGGCGAATTTGTTTACGTAGCCAGAATGTAGGGTAACCGTTGCTTACATATCCATTTGTTTTTAAAACACAAATACATAATTCGTTTCGAGTGTTTGGTAGTGCGAAAGAAGTCTTAAGTATATAGTCCTTAAAAGGCCGGCAACGCACTTCCGTTGCTTGGCGATTTCACTAAACATCAGATGAGCCTCTTGCCCGTTTGGCCTATTATATATAAAATAAAAAAATATAGAATATTCCTTCCTATGAAATCTATCCTTATCAACGGCGTACCAAAACGACCTTTGTTACATACAATTATGGTTCTATTGATAAAGGTACAATAAGTCTCAAATAGTACAATATTTTGTCACGATTATTGTTTTCACGTGACACGAGAGAGATAAGGACAGAACATTATTTAGCTATTTCACGCTTATGGCTGTCCTAAGTTATATGAACGAAATCAAATAAGTTCGAAAAGTTGAATGTTTCCTTGAAGTATTTTTATATAATCGCAGCGGAACGAATGGCGCCGTGCAAATCCTTGAATGGAACATTAGCGTAGCCTAATTGTCCAAATTAGCACATTCAACTCCTAATTAGGTTCTATAGCTAGTACCTGAATAGTATAACATAATGTTATGACTACGTTGTCGTTATTTTTTATCTGCGTAGTCGCGGTGGTCTAAAACGTATCGGTTTTCAAAGTGCAAAGTTCAAAGTTCTGTAGTTTTTTTTTATAGAACAGGGGGCAAACGGGCAGGAGGCTCACCTGATGTAAAGTGATACCGCCGCCCATTGACACTTTCAATGCCAGAGGGCTCACGAGTGCGTTGCCGAATATCGGCCTTTTAACAATTAGTACGCTCTTTTCTTGAAGGAACCTAAGTCGAAAGTTGAGACCAAAGGGTCGATAAGTCTCTTTGAACTAAAATATATCGTTTTCTAAGGTTTGCGTGATATTATAAACTACCACTAGCAGCAATATTAATCATAATAAAAATAAAAAAGTCTTTTATTTCTTGCAAAATCAAGGTAAACTCAATCCTCATGTAATTTTTTGCTAATATTTATCTGTACTAAATAATATATATATACTAACTAATATCCAGTTAGAAATTAGTTTGCAAGAATCCCTTCCCAATATTAACTCGTTATTAATATTGACTATTGCGCTTTTGTTCATCTGCTCTCCAAAGCTGTAAATCCGCATTTGCCGTGCTTATGAAATAATGGAATCAAAACAATTGTTTATAATAACACACCTTAATTTGTGAAAAGGCTCCAACAGTTAATAAAAACTGTCTGTTACCATATACCACGTAACGTGCCAATTCGAAACAGGTTTCACATCCTTTTAATTGACGTAAATGAATACGCGAGCTGTGTGTTTTGTAGATGCCTCATTGTGAACCTTGCGGTTAAACAGCTGATGCTTGACGACTTGTAAGATTCTTGTTTATATGAATTTGTTTGTAGGACCTGCTTTCTAGAAAATTTTAAGTTCACAAGTTTGTTGACATAGTTTCATACTTTGCTTGGCGCAATATTATTAAGCTTTTTATTACTTAGATGCGCACATAAGAGTGGGATAAGTATTATATTTTTGTTGATCAGGAAGGTAAAGGAAAGAAAAGAGCAGTACCGAACTTTATTGGGTGCGTTACCGTCCTTTGATTAGTTTAATGTATAAATTATGTTTAATTCTGACATACGAGAGTCATACTTAGTGGTATGTCTCGGCTCTGAGTCTTACTGCTAAACGTGTTTTTGTATCACAGCCGAGAGTTCGTCCAATCGGACTCAAACAACAATGAGTTAATAGAAAAACAATTTCATTATTTCAACGAAATTTATTTAGTGCGTATTACCGTAACATCGCCGCTGGCCTTCCATTCACTAAGATATATCCGCTAAGATTAACGTGTAACATTTATAATCGAGCCCAAGAAGCATTTCTAAAAATAGGATTTAATTGTTATCCAATGCTCGCGATTCACGTACAAATTTAATCGCAGACTAAAACGAAGATTAACATATAACACCCTTCAGTAGGCTTTTTTCATGTCTTCGATTACAATTTTATTACAAGTATAGCTTATATAATACAGGTATTTATTTACTAACATTTCGTTGCATATACATAAACACAGTACAATTGACATAATTAAATAAAAAGGAGAGCAACTGGCGGCCTTATCGCTTTCGAACGATCTCTTCCAGGCAACCACTGTGAGAAAAGAAAAAAAAACTAAAGTTTTAAATTACATAAGGTAGGCAAGAAGTGCAAAAATACATGTATTACATATAGTTGATGAGAAAAAGAAACTAAACAGGAACAAAAAACAAACTAATAAAGGACACATGAAAAAAAATTAACACCTAATAATAAAAAGTGCACATGAATAATTATAATTTAATTTAAGAATTTAATTTAAGATCAGTCTGACGTCAGTTAGTGGGTATTATTAAAGTTAGGTATACGACGTGGACAGGTAATGTTTGTACAGGAGAAATAGTGTGAAAAAAAAATTTCATTCAGTATTACGTCGACTCTTAGACCTTTAAATAAACATAACCTTGAAAGATCCATAAACACTGGAACGGTATTAATGACATAATTCTGAATCAGTGACCTATAAAGTGTAAGGACAATGATTCATTACATCTTATAGAACCTAGTGAAAACACATCTTTTTGTATGAGTTGGATTAAACAAGGATCTATTCCAGGGCCCAGATGTTTCTGTAAATATATTTATTTAATTTCTGCGTTAGTTATCTTGATCATCCTTATGTAATCTGATAATCCTTCATCACTACATAGTATAAGACAAAGTCGCTTTCTCTGTCCCTATATCCCTATGTGTGCTTTAATCTTTAAAACTACGCAACGGATTTTGATACGGTTTTTTTTAATAGATAGAGTGATTGAAGAGGAAGGTTTATATGTATAATAACATCCATTAAATAGTGGAGAAATACTGTTATTTTTAAGGTTTCTAATGTAATGTCGTAAATAATTAAATTTTTCCGCTTACATTGCAAACGCAGGCGGAACCCTACGAGATTTATCAAAATAATGTACTAAGTATTGTACACATTGAAAAGGTACATTTAGTATCATCTTTGTACCCGTGCGAAGCCGGCGTGGGTCGCTAGTTATGATATAATTATAGAAACCTCATATCGGTTAAGAGAACGCAAGATTTCTTATTATATTTCTTATAAAATGATTTTTCAGGACAATCAGAGCAGTAATGGAACGTACATCAACAACAACAGATGCTCAGTGGTTAAAGACCCGCATGAGGTATTTTCAGGAGATGTGGTTCAATTTGGTATACCGGTGGTTGAAAATACTGCTAACTCGGAGAAGGTAAGTTTTTAAGATTTTTTTGTTTTATTTGACTTAGGGCTGATTTCACCAATGTCGTAGTTATCCGAGAATAGCTATACCAAGGATAAACATATTCTGAATTTATCCCAGATAACTCCTTTACTTTCACCATGTAAAACATCCGATAAACTAGTCTCAGATTAGCTATTCTTTGGAATAGCCGTTTTGCTTATCTGTGGAAGTGTATATTGAGTGAACGAACAAATGAGTGTATAATGAAAACAAATTAAATGTGCAATTTCTTTAAAGAACATGAGGTTAAATGGAACTTTTCTTTAGTTGGATTATCGTCAGTTTGAGCTGTCTGGAACCTCTTTGTAATCTGTGGTCAGGTCATGAAGCTTTGTTTTGCCTGAGTGTTTATTTTGGTTTTGATTTGAAAGAAGAAATAAATAACACAGTTCCATAGCATCCTTAAAAATAGATAGTTAGGTTAGGAACCTATCAAATATTTGATGCAAATTGTTGTTTATTTTACAGAAACTTACCTCTCAGATATGAATTCTAAACGGTTTTCAATTTTCACCAATAAATTATATGTTGCGACCTTGGATAACCGAAATCTTATCCTGAAGTCTTCTCGTCGTAGTTGTTGAATGATCTTTCTTTCTTTTTCCATCTTGGCGCCTTCAGCTGTTTTCGTTTTCGCTATCATCTCCTGTCCTTTCGTAAATATTCTTCTTAAACGTTGCATTTCTTAGTTGTGTAATTAGATCAAGGAAAGAAAACAGGAACAACTCTGAGGGAACAACCACAACAAACTCGGGTCAAACAAAATGTCTGTGTTCTTGATCCTGACAGCTGACATGTTGGCGGCCTTTTTAACCAGGTATCTCCGTATTCGTTCAAAATTGGGCGTATAAATCTTTCCTTGGAATACGTTTTATTCTCAGGTTAGTGTTGGTGAATGTTTTGCTTTCCAGGGTTATTCCTTGGATAACTTATCTGAGTTTGGTGAAATTAGCCCTTAATGTTACTGAATTTAATTTTCTAATATTGTAAGGTTACGTAAAAAATTCATAAAATCAAGAATTTTTTTTTTTATGAATTGTATTTGGATGGTGGTTGGTGAATTATTTGCCTCCTAAAACGCTACTACGGCTATAGTATACATTCCTAACTTTAAATGTTTGCCGCTATCATTACTATATATTGTGATAATAGTTTAAATTGTATTTTAAGAATTTTAAACTATTATATATACCACAATATATATACGATATTGCAATAGTAAACTATAAAATTGAATAAAAAATACGCATTTAAATTTTAATAACATTTCCTTATAAAAACCAAGCATGGAGGTCTTTGTTATTCCACACAGCTTTACTAACTTGGTGTCTTAGCCCTTTGAAAACTTACACAAACGGACAATTAGACCATACTATTATTATAAAAAGAGGTTTGTTTGTTTCTATTTTCAATAGATCCCTTAACTTAAAACTGAAACGCAACGCAAGTTTACAATCATTATATATAATTACTGTTTTAATATTATATCGAGTATTATATTTGATTTCTTATTATTTCTAAATATTGTGATATTAAATAAAACGTTAAGAACTTTTGGGTTATATTTTAAGCTGCCTAGTATGTTAGGGATATCTTATATGACATGCCTAACGGGAAAGAAACGACCGCGACGGAGCGTTTTATTTGAGAGTGCATATATATTTTTATAGCATCACTAATCACAGAAATTACACGTTGTGTATTTCTGTTAGTAACCTCACAAATCAGAACCATAATTAAAACGTGTGATTTCGTATTTCGTTTTTTCTTAGTGTGTCTTTGTAGTTCTGGGAAACCTGGTACAGAAATAAAAAAAAATTTTTGTATCTTTGGTTTGGTTCTAAAATTTAACTTTTTATAACATTAAAAAAATCATTTAGTGGGCCTAAATGATTTTTTATATCAAAGTTTTCTTGGAGTACATGTTAGTTATATAACACTTTTGTTTACGAGAACCAAGGTCAAGGCAAATCAGCCTTTGACCCTAATGAGGTAGTCAATGGCATTATCTACACAATGTATAATAAACTTTTTCAGAACACATTTCCTCCGGTGGTAGCGATGCTGATGCTTTATCACCCAGATGGCACAGAGGCGAAGCTCCACCTCAATGAATTATATCAACTCAATAATTATGTTCAAGTAAGTTAAACTTACCTAACGGGGAATGGGCCAGGCACATTTGTCCATCTCTGTCATCGTAATTTCTGTTTAGTTTAGATAAACCAGTTTGTGAAGCCACAGTTTAAGTCATAAGCTAGCTAAATAATGACTTTCATGTGACAAAAACTTATTGGATGTCAACACTGGAGTTCTAAGGCCTAAATTGCGACTCTGACTCTTTTCTACGGTTTTTTATCCGTGTCAGGGCAGTAAGCCTGTACATTATACATTTATATCGTATGCAATGTTTTCCTTTAATGACAAAGATGTCTTTAGAGTTTAAGAAAAACACTACGTGTTTGGGTGTATTTCATTTAATCTAGATGCTTGAAGTTGATAAAAAGTGCGATAATAATATTAAATCCATAAAATTTTTATCTATCAAATGTCAATATAGATTCATGTAATAGTTATACATTTATAACTAATTCATTTATTAGGACCATGTATGAATTAATGACTTTGAATTACAGGAAGCAATACAACGCGAAGCATCACTCGAGAGTCGTCTGCGTACGTTACGCGAGTGCGTGGAACGTACACGGGCCGAAGCGCAGGCCGCTTGGGAGCTCTTCGTGGGTGAGCAGCGCCTGCTCATGCGAGTGCATACGCTGGAGTCCATGCTCGCGGCAGGCAAACACCCCGATACACAGCATGTTGCTCAATTGCTCACTGATAAGAAGAACTATCAGGTATAAATTATGATTAAAGATTTAGGGAAAGGAATGAATTTGGGTTGTTTCTGTGGCACCTTGATGTTGAAAAATGTGTAAGGACTTTTATGTTCTTTTTATCATTTTAAAATCTATCCTTATTCATAAAACACCGTACATACGCACAGTAGTTCATTTCATACAAAGTAACTCATTCTTTGATTGAACTCGAAAGTTAAAGTAACAGTTATTTTATAGTATTTTCTTTATTGACCTCCGGAATTATATATCTTCTAATACGAAAGAAAGTTGGCATACAATGTAAATAACGTAAGCTTAGGGAGCGTTCCAGTATTACGTCACGCAATTTTTGGAGATTATTGACACCCCCCCGCGTTACGTTACGGTTTGTCGTAACGCGCCGTAACGTTTTTCTGTACCCAAGTACAGTACTGTACCCAATAGTAAAACGTTTCGTGATCACCTAGTGACTCTTTATACCTAAAAGTTACCATTATGTGGTGTAAAGTACTGGAAAGTCGAAAATAATATTAACAATAACGCGTAATTCAATCCCCGCCCCGCATCGTAACGTGCGTTACAAAAGGAAAAAAAAATCGTTACGTAATACTTGAACGTTTCGTTAGTACAGGGTTTTTTAATATAAACAATATAAACCAATTAAATTAATGTTATTAAGTAAAAAGTTTTGTTTCATCTGTATTAATGTCTTAATCCGCTCGCCTACAACACTTTATTTCCTGCTCAATCGTTACATTAAATTAAAAATATGTTTAATAAGGAATAATAAATAGTTTTTTTTAAATCTAGCTGGTTTTTCACCGCTTTTGCCTAAATGTATTTTATTCTTGGAATATTGTTATTTTGTCAATGCTTATTTTTTACAATTTATTTACAGGAAGTGGCGTTAGAAAGTCTAAGAACAGCCCATGAGCAGAGATTAGCGCTGGAAGAAAGTCTCGAAAGGCGCAGTAGAGAAGCGGCCGCGCTGCAGAAACACAACTGCTCTTTGCGATTGGCTGCTAATAACGCACTTGCTGAATTACAGGTTTGAAGAATTCTGTAAAATATAGGCTCACTAATAGGATTTTTTTCAATGGAAGAATGTTTAAATATGTTTGGTATATATGAAAAAAATACTTAATTTTGGGGCCAAACGGTATTTTTGCGAGTAAATGTTTACTCGTTTGAACTCAACCTACGCCTGAACGAAACTCACTAAACGCTTGAGGTTTTTAATTTTTCTGCCTCAGATTTCTGAATCTGTTTCATGATTGATTTTAAATCTAATAGGCAAGTAGGTGATCAGCCTCCAGTGCCTGACACACGCCGTCGACTTTTTGGGTCTAAGACATGTCGGTTTCCTCACGATGTTTTCCTTCACCGTTGGAGCAAATGTTAAATGCGCACATAGAAAGAAAGTCCATTGGTGCACAGCCGGTCTTCAGGTATGAGAGTCGCACGCTGATGCCATTAGGCAAACACTGCTCCATGGTAGGGGAGCCCAGATGAAATGGGGATTTACTCGAGCGTCGTAGAGACCTATTGGGATACAAAGCTTAGATAAAAAGAAGAAAAAAATGTTATATGATAAATTCCTTTTCATCGGTGGGGGAAGCGGCTATAGATAGTTAAATATGTAAATAAAAACTGTTGCATGGACATCCTCGAGCGCGTCAGATATTGATAGCATCTATGCCCTACGTATTTTTAATAATGTACGTATGTTAATCTGATCGTTTCATGATGCGGGTGGTTGTATTTAAGGGTTGAAAATTAAAAAAAAAAAATTTATCGAGCGCTCAGATTTTCTAAGGGAGTGTTAAGTGCACCAAAAAAATCTCTCATTCACTAATCTGACGATTTCGATGGGACGCAAACCCACAGCCATTTTCTTAATTTGCAAAAAAAAATCGCAATTTTGAAATACTCAAGCGCGTCAGATTAAGATATATGTGGTTCATCTTTATGTTCTAAACGTACTGTCTCATAATCTGACGATTATCTAGAGGGATTCGCCTGATCTGACAAAAAAAAATAGAAAAACGGTTCACCTAAAGGGCCATCCCTGCAACTTCCCGCTAATTCCATTCCTGGGCGCTTAAAATTGATATTTTGAGCTCGCTGAGTTCAAAGAAATAACATTTCTATGCATTTGGCTCTCCCAGCTCGAAAGTCTGATAGAAGTTTCATAGAACACTATTTTTGGAATTTTCAAACCGCAATAACTTTTGAATGGATCAAGCAATTTTCACGCGGTTGGCGGCATTCGACGCAGTTTTATCATTCTCATAAGTAATTTTGCAATTTTAATTGATCGAACCACAAATTTCGGAGTAATCCCGAAAAAACACTTTTTCGGGTTTCTTTCATGTACGATATCTCTCGAACGAATCAACCGCTTTTGACCAGCTTGGTGGCGTCGACGTGGTTTTTCAAGCTCAAAGGCGGATTAGTTTTTGAAGTTGATCGATAAAGAAACCACTTAAAAAAAAATATTTCTTATTTTTTTAAGATTTTTCAAAATTTCTCAAAATCTATCGGTCCGAATCGGTTCAAATTCACAGGAAATGTAATTTTGAGGGAAATATTTTGAACGCCGTTTAGTAGATTCCGATCGGTTTAAGGAAATGTAGGCATCACGCAGCTGCGATTTAACTTTATCGACGAATTTTTGTTATTTCGGCTTGCGGAAATCGTCAGATTATATATTTTTCATTATTCTGGAATTATTTCCTTCAAAATAAAAGAAAAATTAGCTACGCTCGAGAATGTCGAGATGACGTTTTTTTTACAACTTTGTTGCCCTCCCCTTTTTTCCGTCACTCTCAAATTGTCAGATTAGTGGAATATACACTTTTTAGGATGTAATTAACTCACCCTACCTTAATCTGACGCGCTCGGGAATTTCTGATGGTCAATTTTTTTTTACTAATCTGATCCTGTCTCCTTCACGCGCGGCCTTATATATGGGCCTCATATTTTGTGGAGGTACTTAACCGGGTACAAGGTATCCCCCTATATAGTAATCTGCCGCGCTTTAGTAAATCCCGAAATCCCCTCTTGGGCTCCCCTACCACAAACGCTTTTTAAAGCCGTGTTTTATACATAGCGTATGGGTACATCTAAAAAATATAGTACATTACCCGATGTGCGTGTGATTCCCTTTTAATAATAGTAAATTGAAGTTAAGCTACAGTTTTATATATTTATTTATTTTATTTTCAGAAACTCGCAGCCCGATGTGATCGCAAGATGTGTGCAGCGCGACTCGCGATATCAACAGCTGAGGAAAGAGAAAACACGCTTCGGAAACGATTGCCACTCAGCGTCAGTATTTTCATAATCACAATTAAAAACCAATATGAAAAAGTTTCAGTTTATGCCTGCTGGCGATTCGTTTTTTTTTTGTTCTACGGGATTCAGGGTTTTTAGCGCAATGTATGGCAAACGTCAAAAACGTATTGGATTGACATTGTGACATAGCTATAAGTTACTATGAATCTTTGTCTAAAATATAGCTGATTTCTTTAAGCTATGTTCATTTCGTAAATACCTTTTATATGTAATTATGGAGGAGATATCGATAATTTCAAAGCTTTTATAATGTTTTAAATAAATGAGCATGTCTTTTACTTCAAAACAGATGATAAATAACAGGCCATAGCGTAAAAAATTATATCTAAAGCGTTCCGTGGCCGCATGTGAAACTACGGAATCACGAATCGATTGAATATAATTCATATAGTACATTTGGAAAATTTACATTATTTTACTAATTTACTTTGCTAGTTTACCAATACTTATGGATCTATCTAAAGTTCGTGCTAGGGCCTCTTCATTGACCTATTTGCTTGAAAAATTATCTATCAAACATAACCAGCGCCATTGAATCAAGATAATATATGGGGACTAACAACGTAGTATTGTCTGTGGTTTATGCGACGCAGTCACAGGCTTCGGATTCAAATCAGTACAATGATGTCATACCTTGCTTCGTATTCGTATACGTTACTTCGGTCGCTAAGGATAAACAACTTCTCGGCCTTAGCTCACATTATTAACATAGTGTCTGGTTAGCGAACCATCATCACTTAAAAGCATTAAGAAACGACTTATTTAAAAAATTCGCTTGTATCAGATTTAAAAGTTTATCTAATAAATTTAATTTTCTAGTATTCCCTTCAAAACGGCGAAGCCAAAATGCTAGTTCTGAGTACGGATAGCAATAAGCTTCAAGATAAGCTCGCCACTTCGCTGGAAGACGCCGTGCGAGCATTGCCGGATTATATCAAGCTTCTACTACCACATCCGCTTCTTAACAAGGTATAGATATGTGTGTGTATGTCTGCATTAGTATGCAGAATAATTACTTCTTATAGCTCTCCCTTGAGCACGACACAACATCGTGATCTAATGAATTAATTTAAATGCTCTAACTCTCTTGAAAAATATTAGCTAGCAATATTAGCTTAATAATAGCCAATTTCTAAAATACCATAAAATTTTGGTTACTAATATATAAAACAAAGTTTGTTCGAGCACTTATAACTCGATCGGCTAGACCGATTTCCATGGTATTTGAAAAATTGACAAAGATATAAAATGTTTAAGGGTTTCGTTACTGTTCCCTCAAATACTCTGTACGGTAAACTCTCCCCTCAAATTAAAAGATAATATTTATGCGCGCTAGTATTTATATATTTTATAATTGTTATTTAATAAATAAAAATTATGCGCGCATTCAGAAGTTTATTTTTTGTACTAAGGAAAATATACAACAATTTTTAATTATTTTTGTGTTATATCAATTATTATCCTTAATAATATAATTATAAAAATATATTAATCTGATTGCATTTTTTTTTAGTAATTATTTGTCTCTTCATTACACAATAAAAACTTTTTTTTTATGAATTAAGGGGACGGTTGACAATTTGTTTAATTAGCATACAACACTTTTTTCTATCTACACTTCTTTTAAAATGATTTATTAAATAATTATTTCTTATGTTTCGCAAAAGGACTTTCCTATATTATAATATAACTATGTCAAAACAAATATCTAACTGATCATTGCTTTATTTATATTAATTTTTTTCGAATTAATTTGCAGGTGGGAATAAAGGTGATAGCGGCGGAATGCAAAACTGGGAAAGATGTTGATTTAATATTAAAGAAAAATGACTTTAACAATACTGAAAATAATGGTAAGACATCTTTTAAATTTGTACGATGTTAATGTCCCTTTCTATCAAAATATTTTTACGTTATAATAAAAAAAAAATAATATGTAAAGCTATTTAACAATACGAAAAATAAAGAGTATTTATTTTGTAGACGAAAATAACTTGGAAATAATCATATATTTATCAAAAAATTCAGAGTAAAAATATTGATTTTCAGCTACTTAACACAAAGCAGTCATAGATTCGTCGAATCGACGATGAAGTAAATACTGTCTTTGCCTGTCTTATCCTAATTCCATCTTGTTATTTTGACGGAGACGCTTTATGTTCCAAAATAATACATATATGTATATAATATGATAATTAGCACTTTAAAAACTTAACATTTGATTACGTGTTTAGCACGTACGTACAAGCATTGTCGTAGGGACTGATTCGACATCTTGCCTAAAGAAGCGTTTTGGCGGAATCTAGAGATTATGAATGTTTAATAATAAGTTTTACAGCCAAACACACAGAATAAAAGTAACAATTTGTGTCAATAAAGTCACAAATGAAAAATCAAATTTTTTAAAGGTTTTTAAAATTTTGCCAAACAGCTCATTTCAAACATATTCCATAACGTCAAACTTCCAAAAAAGCCGAAATTTTCGGCTTTCATCCTTTCTCTATTACAAAAAAACACAAATATTTCAATATCACGAACAATATATCGAATTAACTTTAATTAAATTATTTTATTCCTTAGCTGGCATCACTGCCTACTAATTCCAGGTTCAGTTAAACCGTTAAAAAATAAAAGTTATCTTTACGTCTTGTGCGTTTTTTACTGTTCGTGATGAAAAGGGACGTAATTATCACTCGCCATTAAACCACTTATAATGTGGAGCACAGCATTTAATAAAATGGATACATTCACTAACAAATAAAATGTAAGTTCAGACTCGTATTGAAATTGAAAAGTGTGCCCGGCCAAAAAGGTTTGCCATCTCTGACATGTCAAAAAATGAAAATGAAAATCTACGGAATTAAAATTCAGAGTATAGCTATGTTATTCTTTATGGTATTTTAATAATTTACAGAAAAACAACAAGAGGAAGAAAGTGTGAGCTCGAGTGGAGAGAAATCATCGGAGTCCAATTCTGGTAGTGATGAAGAAAAGTCGCGGATTAATAATGGTATTTTCTTTTTTAAAGTTGACATGCTTTTGGGTTGATATCCTCAAAGTTTTTGACATAGAGCTAAAAGAGATTGTTAGGATTTTGTACAAATTTTATTACCTATGAATGTGCCCCTATAATTAATTTATTAATTAGCTACTAATTGACAAACAAAACTTTTAATTTAATTTTAGATTTTTTAATTTTCGGCATAATACTGTTCTGTGCAATGTCTCAGAAGCCTAATTTTTTTTATTATTATTATATCCGCAAGGCTTCTGAGCCTTATTTTAAAGTTTGTTTTCTCAGGTAGAAAATAGGTAGTAAATATGGATAAAAACGCTATTATTCAAGGATTCCTAGAACCCAATTAAATGATAGTGGTCAGCCAACCTGACGTCAGAATGTCTGGCCACATTATTTGTTTATTATGTTCTTTAATGCAGAGGTAGCAAATGCGTCTTTGAAGGTAGCAAATATTATCAAATAGGTAAAGAAATATGGCTTGTAGTTTGATTGCGATATCAAATTTGGTCAGCCAACCTGACGGTCACCATTTTTGGGCGTGCTATAAAATAAAATAAAACTGATTTGGTCTCAACCCCCGGTACATAGTCAGTCCCTTGATGCTTAGCTTGTGTCAGACATCTGTCCCATCGAAGGATACAAGTTACGCAATAGAAAATATAGTTGCACTGTGCCAATATAATTTATTGTGGATATAACCAGTCTTAATAGAAATTGGCAAATAACTTATGAATGAAAAAAATTATGAAACAATTTTGAAATTTTAGCTAATATGAATGATGTCTTCTTAATTGCCTATAATAGTAGATATAGACAATGAGAAGGCAAAACTTTCAGATGATGAACCAGCTGAGACGGTTGCTGCCGACGGAGAGCTTCGGCCGGACAACAACGCAAACTCCACATTCAGCGATGGTGATGGAAAGGAGGAGTCGCCCGTGAGTGATTATTAATATTATCTGGATATCCATTTTACAATACCTGAGCTGATTTTGATAGCGATTGCGATACCGACTACAATGACTACTTACAGAGTACCGGAAAATATGTTATAGCTTTTTTTATAGAACAGAGGACAAACGGGTAGGAGGCTCACTTGATGTTAGTAATCCCGCCGGCAATAGACACTCATAACGCCAATTCTTAAAAGGCCGGCAACGCACTCGCGAGTCTTCTAGCGTTGAGAGTGTCCATGAGCGGCGGTATCACTTAACATCAGGTGAGCCTCCTGCCCGTTTGCCCCCTGTTCTATAAAAAAATAACGCCAGAGGGCTCGCAAGAGCGTGGCCGGCCTTTTAAGAATTGGTACGCTCTTGAAGGACCCTAAGTCGCTGGCTTTTTTGGTGATAAGAACAGAATTCGTCGTCTCCTAAAGCGGGTTACAAAGTTCTATCAAAGTTTATTGTAAACAGTTTTTCTTTTGGCACTAAAGTGTTTATCTTCAAGTCCAATGCTGACCTTACCTTTGCATATAAAAATTGCGTTCTCTTTCATTCGTTAGTTCACGGTATTTTGATCGAGATTTCATTTTCGTCGCAAGCGCATTTGGAAGAAAATGCTTTTAGAGTGATGGCACCCTGCAATGGAATCGCTTTCTCCCCTTTATTTAAAAAATACTTTTTATAGAACAGGAGGCAAACGGGCAGGGGGCTCATCTGATGTTAAGTAATATCACCACCCATGGACACTCAATGCCAGAGGGTTGCCGGCCTTTTAAGAATTAGGACCTTAAGTCGAATTGGTTCGGAATTACTTCAGTAGGCAGCTAGTTCCACATAGCGCTTGATGCCATGTGAATAGTGAAATATGATGTACACTTTTGAACGTTTGTAAAAATAATTTGTTTAACCTTTACTGCCAGTCAAATCGTAGAATGGAACTAGTAAAACTCGAGTTTCTTATTTATTATATTTCTTTATTAAAACTGGCACAATTTAGTAACTTAATACGGTGTATTTGTGACGGACTTACAACACTTTGCAAGTTTTGGGAATCTAATGAATTTAAAAAAAAAAATTTATAGCCAAATACTGCTTCTTGTGAAATTCTAAAATATTAACATAGTATAACAGAGAGACGTAGACTACTAGATATTATAAGTATGCTTTTTATATGTTGGCGTTGTCGTAAGGATGAAATTGATGGAAACACAAGTACATATTCAAAGTTTCATGTGTAATAGCCTAGTTAGAATCGAAATAAAACAACAACTTTTAACAAAATATTTATTTTATGCAGATCATATTTTATTATAGGGTAAATATGTTATTTTTAATACTGCGTTTTATGTGCTTAAGCGTATAAGATTTTTTTCCTGAGTCATTATAGTTGTATTGGCAGACTGGCCAAGTGTTGCTGTGGCTAAGGTTTCTATTATATTACATACGTTGTAGTAAACTATTCAAGGGAAACGGTAGAAGAACACCAGTTATGGGGTCTTTCATGCTTTTTTGGGGTTATGCCATTAAATTGTAGCTTATGTGAAACGTTGGTACTTTCAACACAGCGCCATCTGTTAGAATTCTGAGAATCGAAAGAATAAACAAATTTTGCAATAAAATAATATTGTGGATATGTAAGTATCCTATCTTTTAAGTTAGATCTAACTGCACACAGTGTGCAAATTTGATTGAAATCGGTTCAGTAGTTTAGGAGTCCATAGCGGACAAACAACGTGACGCTAAATTTATATATATTAAAGTTATTAGAAGTTTTATTTAAAAAACTGATTTCCACTTTCTATAGAGCAAAGCGGGGGTCGAGTACGCGAATATACTCCGCGTGATGGGAGGCCTTAATGAAGAGATTAAGGCGCTGCGAGAGCGTCTAGCAGCGAGCACGGCGGAGAACGAACAATTGCGGAACATTCGAGATGATTTGCTCGCAACCACTGAAGCTGCTGACCCTCCGGAGACGCATGACGCGGCTGCCTACCGCGCTACGATTGCTGATCTGCAGGTAAATAATAATTTCAAATGTTCATTAGTTGTTTCTCATCCCTGATGTCGTAGGTTCGATCCCCGGCTGTGCACCAATGGACATTATTTCTATGTGCGCATTTAACATTCGCTCGAACGGTGATGGAAAACAAACCGACATGTCTTAGACCCAAATAGTCGACGGCGTGTGTCAGGCACTGGAGGCTGATCACCTACTTGCCGATTGAAAAATGATCATGAAACAGATTCAGAAATCTGAGGCCTAGACATAAAGTGGTTGTATTGATTTATTTTTTATTAGTTGTTATTTCACTAGAAACTAAGTATAAGGTGACTTTATAAAATCGAAATTTATTAACAGCTTATTAGCGATGTCCAGGGTGGGCATGTTTTTTTTAATTGCACATAAAAAACCACTTTAACGCGTGATTGTATTTAGCGATCCAGGATTAAATTAGAAGTTTTGATAATTAAAAACAATTGCTAATCAGGTTTGGTATTATTCGCCATCGTCATTCTAGAACTGGTGAAGTTTTTTTTCTTAAGCTGTCACAGATCCAGATGTATTGTTTCGTTATGTGCAATTAGAATAATACAGTCTACATAGCTCGCTGGTTAGCATATTATGGATTCTCGGTGAAACAGTTTTCGGTTGATGTATGCGCATCACGACTGAGGACATATAATAAATATATCAAAACTAGCGTCCAAAGTGCTTGTTGCCTTATAAAATTCTATTTTGAATTCATTCCACCAAAATGTTATCAAAGTTGGTTCAATAATTCAACATTAAACGCCAAGACAACTAGCAATTATAATTTAACTACAATTGCGTTGTTGGTAAAATATATGAATAACGTTTGGCTATTGACCTTAAGGTATATGAAAGAGAAGGCAAGATCACCATCTCTCTCCACATTAGGGTGTGGTCTGGGCGTGGCGTTTACGCCCCCTGTACCTTAGTTTCAAGGGTGATTCAGAAGAATTTTGTTATGAAAATTATTGATATATTGGTGTCTGTGATTGCTATAAACTTGTCACCTAAAGGTTAATGACCTTTAATTAGTAGGTCTTATCTATTGTGTTTTATTTATTACACTGTTTTTAATGATATACCTCTTTTGTTCTCTGCCCACTAACTGTTGTGTTTCCCTTGTGATAAAAAGAGAGATTATAATAATTGCCATCAAACAAATTTGTAAACTAAATTCCAAGCTCCTAGGATAGAGATTTCAAGAGCTTTTGACATTCCAGTTTAATGTTATGTGTTGCCAAGAATAGTTAAAACAATAACTATTAAAAGGGGACACAATATAAAGAAATTAGAATAAACATAAATTGGGCTTATCTCAGTAATTAAATGATAAAATTTCGTGGATTAGTACAATTTGTACAATATTTTTTTATTAAATTAAACATATAGGGCAAGATCTATAGAGGGCACTTAGACTTTGCTCAGACTTAACTTTTGAGTTAAGTCACAGTCGGTTTTTATAGAGCAAACTGCGATCTCTCTGAGTGTTAGCTTAATCTCAAGTCCACGAAATCGACGACTTTGACTATAAGCCTAACAAAAATAATGGCCCAAAATTTGCTTTACCATCATATCTTTTACTAGATTTTTTATTTTTGTCGGTTTTTAATTAACGGTGATGCCGTCTTATACTGGAGTTCCATAGACTTTGGGAAAAATAGGATTTGAATTCAAAGAAATGATAAATGATCTTAATAAATACCTATGAAATAAATGAAATAAAATAATTACACATTATTATGGTATTTATTATTTATTCAAACCCCATTTTTGAGAGATGTTGACATTGACAAGCAATAACAAAATTCAAAATATAACCAAACCAATAAATAGAAGATTGTACTGTTTTAATCGTTTAAATATTTGTTATTGTTATACTTTTTTAAAGGATGATAAAGAAGGTATTCCATTAAATGAAACATCAATTTGTATTTTGTCATTTTCTGTCTGTTAGTGTACACTAAGCAAAGTTTTTCGTAAGTAAAGTTTGAGTTAAGTCTAAGTGCGCTCTAAAGATCTTGCCCTTAGTTATATGTCACTTATAGAGTCTACTGTGTTTAACGGAAACGACTTGTCAAACGATTTGGGAAATTTAGTATTTCGATACTAAGTATATTAATTTTAATTTAGATTTTATTGACGGATCATTATACATTGTACTGTACCTACTTGTCTTATCCCTCAGGCTCAGCTTACACGTTCAAACGTAGCGGAGGAAGCGAATCTCGCAGAAATCAAGCGTCTGGCGTCAAACGCCGCTGAAATGCAAGCGGAACTTGCCTTCCGTCCCACACGTTCCGACATCGACGATCTGACCGCAGTAGTAGGGAACCTTCAAGCCGAGGTCCTAGAAAAGGACAATTTGATGAAACAGCTACAAGACAAGACTACCCTGGATAAGACAACCGAAACTTCGAGATCTCTCGAAGAATTGAGACCCGAAATAGACACGAAACAAATATCCGCCGATATAGACGAATTGTTCAAGCTGGACTTCGACGATGACGACACAGATTCCGTCGCCACAGAAATCAGCAACGAAAAGAGCGTTTCAAGCGAATACGTGCGAATCGACGATGAGCAACGCCTACATGTTACGATGCAAAATGGCAGTTTGCACGCGCTAGAGGAAGAGCTAGTGAGAGCCAAAGAGAGATGGGAGGAGATATCCGCGGAGAAGGCGCGGTTGGCCGCTCAATTGGCCACCTTACAGAATAAGACCATGCGTGTGGATATCACGCACCTGTTGGCGTTAACTGTGCCGATAGTACTGGCGTGTGTGTTTTACGCTCTGTTGCCCTACATCTCCTGATTGACGGCCACCTGGGATCCACCCGGGTACGCTTAGCCCAAGACACTCGATTGCTCATTTTTTCGGGCTTAAGCCGATCCCGTATCAGATTTAATAGTCACCGATTGACCACAGTTCAAAATTGATAATTTTCCATATAGGTCTAATAAAACGTGGACTAGAGACCGTGGTGTGGTTTCAATGTAAAGAAGGTAATAATAACAATCAGGGTTTAGTCAACGTTTTATAATAAGGCAATAACAAAAGGAATGTCTAAAAACAAATGCAGATAGCATTTGAAACAATATATTTTGAAATTATGTACTGTATATTTAAATTGTGGTCTATTATTTGAATCCGATATCGGGATTGGTGATGAAAAGAATTTCCGTGCCGAAGGCTCCCTTCGAAGGCTGATTGAGTATTTTGGAAGTGCCATGTGACGTATGAACGTTTCAATGTATAGTTTTTGTATAAATTTGTTGATATGCCATAATAACTGTATATTTGTTAAGGCCTAAATTCGTTTGTATTAAGGCTGGGGTAATGTTACAAGGTTTCACTTAGATGCAATGCCTATAATTCTCATAATTTGCATATCAAAGACATCTTAAATTCTTATTAATTAAATGCTTTAAACGTATGCCACAAATACAACGATAAAGCTGATTCTTCTAGAATTTGGACAATTTACAGTGTGCAAGACAAGATTTTGACGGTTTGAAATATATGTTCAAATAAGAGCTTATGAAATTGTCTATGCCACATCAAAAAAGTTGGCACTATTACTAAGTTGTTATATTTGCCTCTAATTATTCCTAGTAAAGTCATCAGTCGGTCAACAGACCCCTGAATGAAAAAGAACTGATTAGCAAAATTGCCATTTATACGAATAAAAGAAAATATTTAAATTTCGAACGACTTCTAAATTTGAAAATCAATTGAAATTAGATTAACTACAATGCTTTTTAGATTTCTAATGACGACTAAATTTTAAAAAACCCTTAAATTTAGATAAACTGCAGTGTTTTTAAATTTCGAACGACGTCTAATTTAAAATTGATGATATTAGATGAAGCTGGCAACAGTGCTTCTCAAAGTGTAAAAATCAAAAGCTTTCTTAGTATTGCTGTATGTTACTTAACAAGCTGTTGTAAATGCCCTTTTAAATTTACGGACAATTCTTCATAATTCGTATAATAGCGCTTGGAGTATCAAACAACTTGTCTACTAGGATAAATAGAACTAAATTAAGATGTCCATGGTGACATAACATAGGGTTTTGGTCTATCGTTAAAAAAAAATCTCATTTACATATCACGAGGTGTGGGCATTTAAAATCTGTGGCGAGTTTTCGATTTTTGCATTTTCTAGTCTTAGGGTAAGATAGTCGGGTCTTAGCGCTCAGATTCCCATAAGTCAAAAGCCAAAACATTTTTGACAGCAGTACATAGCGCTAAGTCTTGACTGAATTTTACCATAAATTTCTTATATTTTATACGTATTCGAATTTTATTTCCCCAACCATTGCACTATTTTTAGACATTTAACATATAGATTATTTAGTTGCAATACTCTTAGTTTAGATTTTTTTATATATTTTCATGCTTTGATGATTTGAAGTTAATATGGGAAGAGTATTGACTATTATTTAGTAAACAAACCTAACTTACCAAAAAATATGAAAGTGAGGGTTATTTTGCTTAGAAAGGTAAGTGTTAATACTTTTCCTGAATTATTCGTCATCAAATGGAAATAGCGATTGGTATTGCATCGTTTTGAATATGTTTTGAATGATGTAAAGTGTGTTTGATCTCGCTAGAGGTCGCACGCTTCGTGATGTCAACGCCAATAGAGTTCAATTCGTAAATATAGTTAGGGATATATGTACCACGTTGAAACACTATCATTTAATTTATTTTAATTGTTGCACGTATTGTTATGTTCGATGTTTTATTTTGCGTTTCACTTTGTATATAGTTAGTAACCCTTAATTTCGGAGTATATTTTAAAAGAATAATATCGCATTCAATGTGGATGTACTGAAAATTTATTGGAAATAATATTGATTTGTTTAAGATTTGTTTTATTTTAAAACCCTATCAGAGATTATTAAATGTATTATTGCTGTACTTTATATTATTTTAGTGGGATGTCAAAATATTTAACGCAGATGCGTAATACCTAGTCAGGACGTGACTAGAAATAAGACAAAAAATCCTAGGTATCGAAATTTATTTTGTTCTATATATATATACAAGTTTTATTAAAAGAGTTTTTGGTGAAGTCAGGTAACACTGCAACAACGTCTATGTATAGACAAAGCTGATGCAGTCTTGCTGGTATCACGTCGTGCTCTCTGGAGTGCTTCCTGTTCAAATGCCGAGAAATTATTTTAATTCACCCGGTGGCAGGGTTCAAGAGAGTAACATATGCCAGTCCCATCTGTGGACGTCCACGTCGTGCCTCCCACCGTTCTCAACCGAGTTCCACTCTCAAAGCGTCTCGCGGTGGAGTAGCTGAAGGCGAATTTTTGCAAAAAAACAAGAGAAGGGGCCAAACACAGGGCGGGAGTCCCGACAATTGTATAGAAAACTGGACCGATCGTATCTAAACGAACTGGCAAGAATAAGGACATGCTGTAAGGGAATGTTAGGAACCTTTAACAGACCGACCGACAGAAAAGATTCTTACTAAACTTACAAGCAATAGATAACCCGGTAGAACGAGGCTGCTTTGCTGTGATGGAGTTGTCAAGGAGCTCGAAATAATAGGTGTTGTAACTCTTGCGATGGCGTAAGTCTTGCGGAAGCTAAGGCCTATAAGGAGCGGTGCAGACATTGATGACGTTTTCGACCGCTAATTTAATATATACAAGTAGTAGTATAGCAAAATAATTCTAAAACAAAGATTTTATTTATTTTATTTTAAAAGGCACACTAACGAAACACATACAAACAGAGAACACATAACATAGAAAACAAGATACATGCATGTGCATCAATAACAAGTGTGCACAACATTTAAAGGGAAACATTACAATGATGAAGGGAAAATAACTTCAACAAACAAACTAGAGATGTTTGATGTGTGTGCTGTTTTAAAATTAAACAAACAATTTTGAATGATAAAAATATCTTTCTATACAGAGAACTATATAGTAAATATAATATAAATATTTATCTATAACAAATATAAAAAACTACATTTTAGTATATAATTTAATATTATTTAGCGTAAAATATAACTTTACAATAATTCAAAAACTCCGTCGGATCTTGAACATTTCTTGCGGCCGTCGGCGAGCGGTGAGTGCTTAGGCATATAAAAACTAATCTAACAGGTTTTTACATTTTGATTAAACTGCACATTAAAAAAATATTTCCGGTACAATAACTTTAAAATTACAACTATTCAAACATGCAAACGTAGAAAATTTCCATCTTAATAGCTTAGTTATAAAAATATGGTTTGTGAATATGGTGACAGTTCTTCCTTTTTTTCAATGTCTTCAATCGGTGTAAATACGTATAAGCGATACAAACGGACGAAGATCCCACCGACCCGCTAATGTCGGCCGAGCTGAGAATTTCGTCCGGGCGTAGCACTTGATACAAATCTTCATTCTTCTTTAGTTCCTTCTTCACTCTTATAAATAATAAATGAGCCACGTACAATTAAACACACTTAGCAACAGTAACACAAAAGGAAAAAAGGCCTTAAAATAAATGAAACATTAATTACTTGATGATAATTAGCGTGTTGGTTGCGCGAGCGCGAGGTAGCGCACAACTAGCCGCTACCTTCCGTCGACCTTCAGAGTCGGTTCGGAGCGAGCGATTGTCTGAGAAGCGTGCGGCGCCGGCGTCGGCGGTGAACGAACTCACCTTGACAAATGCACCATTTGGCATTGTTCGCGGGAAAACCGGCGGCCTTGCGCACACCGCGCGCCGCTGCTCGACCAATCGTGGGCCTTCGCGCCACAGCCTGCGACCGTTTTGGCGGGAATCACTCCCCGCGTTCTCCGTTTGGCGCGAGTGTCGTTCAGCGTCAGCGTGCCACGGTTTCAGTGTGACCTTTTAACACGAAACTTAGTTTATTTCTATGCGGGCGAGCTACACAACAATTGAAAAAAAAACAAACATTCTAGTGTATTAAAACGCGTGGGTATGCGCGCATAGTAACTATACTAATTACGTCGTCATAATTACAAAAGTGATGTTGCCGTCCAGTTTAATTATTCAATTAATTGTAGCCCAGCGCATTTCGCCACGAATAGATAGTGGTTATCTGGTCATGCTTCAGCGACTTTCACGCTGTGTAATGAGTCAAAATATGAAGAGGTAGATTTTAAACACACGAAAATATTTTAAGTAGGTAACATAACGTTAAATATTCACGGTGATTAGTGGAGATGTAGAATTAAAACATTTATTGAAATTTAGACTTTTCTAGTGGATAAATAACATTAATTCGATTAAATTTTCTTTTTGTTATACCTTTTAAGTTTTAACCCATATTTCTATATTGTTATAAAATACACAAATACAGAAATTATGTAAAAAAAATGTTCATCAATCATCGTTCTCGTTCCCAATTTATCGTTCGTTATAGTGAAGTTTTAACAAGTAAAAACAAAGTTGCCCGTACCAAACATTGTAGGCGGCAACGAATGCAGAGTTATCCAAAAATAAATGTAGATCTATCTACGCCTACCGCGTCGCCTACAATCTCAATGTATTCATTATTCCAATCATTATCACTTGCAATATCTCATTGTAAAAACCTAATCGTTGAGAATACAAAATGCAATTAAGCGATATTTTTCACAAACGCGCGTGACAATTTTAATAACAATTTGCTATATATTTATGGTTTTTAAGCCTTTCGATGAGTGAGCCCTAGTGGTTCCCTGATGAAACAATAATTTCAGGCTGGTCATGAAGTCTTTTGTATGATCAACGGAGAATTTTACTTCATTGGGGGGTTACGGGACTTCAACAATATATTTATGGCGAAAACGCTACGGTAGTGCTACGACGTAGCGTAGTCCCTATTGGGTTTCGGGAATAAAGAGTTAACTTAATAACACCATTTTCTATTTTGAAATGCGTAGAAAATTTATATTAAAATTTTTATACAGCAATTTAAAAACCAATTAAACTATCATAAATTTAACAATATATTTGAGCAATTTGCTGTTGCAATATTAAATTGTATGGTATCCTTTTGAAGAATGCATTAATCAAAGATCTGACTCATTATGGCGAATCGCAGCCAATTTTAAATTAACTACTTATTATTTTATATTAGTATGTGTACCTTTTTGCAAGTTTAGTCTTGTAAAATATGTTTTTGAACATGAACGTTGAACATTCTACAATAGAAACTAACCAAGAAACGTTCCAAAAACATAGTCCAACAAAAAAGTACAAAATCAAGTTATAGGTATAAAAACCGCGATATGATATTGATGATGTGCCGTAGATAATCGTTTTATTAAGAGCATTATTTGCGAATCAAAAAACATCAATTTTTTTACAAATATGTAACTCCTTAGTGAATGAACTCTATGTCTCGTATGAAGTGTCTTTACAAACAGAAAACTAAAACTGACCTGTCGTTTCTAAATAGTTAATATAGTTCACAGTAAGAGGCAAAAAGTATAATTTGCATCTGAATAATCTTCATCCCAAAGGTTTATTCATATTATGTGTGCAAAGTGTGTCGTCTAGACACCGAGCCCTGCGCCGACGCCGGGTCAGCAGCAGCCATCGTGACTCATAACTTGCTTCACAACTTTCGTTCTAAAGGTCGACGGAGTGTCGGTAACTAAGGAACATTAGGTAATAAACTCATGGTACAAGATAATCGTAAACATTAATATTGTATAGATTTGTTTTAATTTCTATATCGTTTGTAAGGGCGCGTAGCCAACTTTACATTTAAAAAAACCCGTAATCTTGATATAAGGCTAATTCTTGATACTATCGCCTGTATTTAAACGTTTTTAATCAACAGTGTTAATTCTATGGTTTGGATCGAGATCATTAAGGATTTAAAAAAAATCGTTGGTGTCAATTAACAATTCTACGTATATAATCGCTTTAAATATGACATAGTTTAAGACAAATTGCTATAATTATTTGAAAATGTATAATAACAATGTTCGAAAAACTCGGCTGAGTAAGTGCAATTGGATACTTAGTTATAATTGTTATTCAAATGTTAACTGCTTTGTTATCATATTTCTCGATAAAATAGCAATCCTAAATACCAATTAGATTTATAATTTGTAAATTACTAATAAGACACATAAGGCAAGTGTGATAAGGAAAAAATATTAAAAAGCTAAGACACACGTCTTAAGTGAAACCATGAATATAAATTATTATTTAAAACCACGTCTCTATGATGTTCCAAATTCGAATTGCTAAAATGCAATTGAATTGTCCCCATATTGCCTCAAAATACTAAGTTAGAGCCCGTGTACCGATGAGTCAACGTGTCATTAACCCTAGCGTCATCGCTTCAGCCTGCCATTATATTTTACGCCGCTTTTTATACACGTTTTCTAGATATAAAATTGGAATCTTAGAACATTCAGGAAGGTTTTTATTACTTTCTTATTTCATGCGTTACTAAATGATGTTTAAACTCGAAATGAGTATGTGAGAAGTGCAGAGTTTTACTGGATTGCTTACTAAATCGAAATAAAATAAATTAGTATAATTGATCCAACTGTAATGACTCAAATTAATATTCATGTGGCAACACAATTTCAGCTATTACCACGGGATAGGTAAATGAAGTTGGATACGCCTTTGCCGAAAGTAGAACCATCTTCTACCATTGCCTTTAAGACATTTTATGCAAAATCTATCAATTTTAATTACTTATTCGTGACACGCTTGGTATTTGCTCAGGTTTTAAATGAATTAAATTTTAATGAAATGAATGAATTTTAATTAAAAATAATATAAACAACATTAAATAACCAGCTTCAAACAACTTAGTTGCTAACAACTATTTTAACTATAAACCCGTTTTTCAGCAAGTTAAGTTGGAATAGGTTTTAAAATATTATCAACTAACCGTGGCTCTTATAACTAAGATTCTCCTTACTTAAAAACTAAACTAAAGCTTGAATAAATTACTCAGCATTATATATTATTATTACACTTGCATTATGCTGTTTAGTCACCTAAGGTCCATATTCTAAGTCGAATTTGATACAATATCGTCGAAAACGCTTTCAAATATGTCGAACTTTATACAGAAAATTGTTTGGTAGCTCTAGAACAGTGTTTCCCCAACCTATTTGTGCCATGCCCCACCTTAGCCTTTCTAATATTCTTATGGCCCAAACACATAATTTTTAATATTAAAAAATTTAATTGTTCACTTAGAAACTTAAATGATAGGTTATAGGTAGAACTAGGGAATTGTTAACGAAATAATAAAAAAAACGAAATACTAATTCCAAATAATTTTAATGAACTTTCGAATAGCCCCCGTAACAATCAAATTGCCCCCCTGTGTGGCGTGGACCCAACGTTCGGAAAAACTGTTCTAGAACATTCGACTGGACCTTCGACTGTCTTGAGTCTACAGCTAATTAAATACTCTAAGGATCGTAATTAGCATTAGATGCCATTTTTAGCCATGGTTTATAAAAAAACTACTAATAACATGATAATTATATATAAATTGGAATATTTGGAATACAAACCTAATTGCGTACCCATAATTCAAACGGTCAGTGACAGACGGGAGTTCGCGTCTTCAAAATCTATTTAGAAAAGCTAATGCTTTATTATTCAATACCAATTCACTTGACGCACGCCAAGATCCTGATTTAAAAGTCAATAGGTTCTTGGAAAACAAATTTAAGCGGTTGTATTGACCCCAAATATGGTGTTCATGTCCTTCCGTTTATTCAATATTTAATGTGCGACCCACGTACATATAGGGATGGGTTTAATAACTTTTTATGTGCGCATCATATCAATGAAACATTGCAAATATACAATATTACTATGATTAAAGCGAATTAAAAACCTTAGACTTCTATACAGATATAAACAGCTAAAGCAACCACGATTGCCGTAAAGCGTTTAAAATGTCAAGTAATTCACGTCAAAATTAGATAAAATAAATTCACGTGTTTATCTATCAAAGAGATTTTATAACATAGGTTTAGGCAAACTTGGCTATGGAAAGAGGGACGATGACTTTCTTGATAATTTTTCTCGTCCCTTATTATGATTAATTGATATTTTAATTTTATAAACACTAAATAACGATATTACATTAATTATGAACCTAGCGTTCTTAATAGTAAATTCAAAGAGATAACTGATTCTGCGAAACAATTTTCGAGTTTGTGTGATGTGACGAGGCTTCAATAAACTTTTATTTATTATATTAAAATACCGGAAAAAATACCTTTTAAATACTTATTTCTTCTCATTTATGTAGGATCCCGTATATATTTCGCTTCCGATACATTGATTTCTACTTTCACATACATTTAGGATGTGCTTTAGCTTCCACCGTCTTCTATGAATCGAATTGACCTGGAACAACACAAAAAATATTAAAATTACTGTTATGACATATATAAAGCAAGATTTCGGCAGTCTTTGTTATTGAGTGCGGAAAAAGGTTTCTTAAAAACCTGTCGTAAAATAACGGATATCGATATGATATTGGTGGTATGTAGGACTTCCTATTTATGTTTTGATTATTTAAACGACCATTTATTATTATTAAACATTTAATAAATTCAATATTCATTAGCCTACTAGTTGAATTAATTTGTGTTTCGCGGAATTGTTCGCAAAGTATGCATGGCGTCAACTTGAGTCTGATGTCATCAGAATAGTACTGACTCAATGTTGTTTATTCGCTAATACGTTTTTTCAACAATTTTTTTTTAGAAAACTAACTAGTGACTAACTACAAAGTCGCCTAAGAATGAGAATTGAGACTTAGCGCTGAGAGCTCTTGCTTGCCGAATCAAATACGCGCTCCAACGCTTACCACGCGAACCAAGTTCTTCCTTTTAGCCTATTAATTCT